GTGAGCGTACCCTATAATTTTTTGCGGCTAATAAAACATTCCTGTAGTATTTTTTTTTTGTAAATGTATTTTATTGTTTCCCATTTCGGTAGAACACTTTTTTAGCTCTGGATCTGATCTCGCTTGTGTGCAACTACTCTTCAACCATATGTGGTCGTGTTTTTTTTTCCATTTTTATAGATATCTAGAAAACGCTCTAAAATAGGTATAATTTTAGCTGAACCTCAATTACATTGGCACTTGAATGCTGCTCTTTTTACCAGCGTATTCAGGTCATTTTTTAGAAACTTTCTCAATTTAAGTTTGAATTCGACACTTATGCTGCATAAAGCATGGTTGTTACTTCAACATATCTGCGAAAGGGTTTGACGTATAAATTAGAATTCCTTATCGAAAAAGTTCGTGAGTTCCATTGTGGTTGTGTCGCGCGTTTTATGTTCCGAATATCATACATTTAGGAATGATTTATTTGCGGTCAAAATGTAAGGCCTACGGTAGGTGCTAGCAAAATCAAATCTTACAATCCAGTGGTCCGATCTTAGAGAGCTCTTTACTTCCGAGGTTTAATCATGGTTACACAAAATACCCATAGTATGGGAGCCGTTTTTTGATCATAGTGAGCTGACCCAGTTATGAATTATGTAGGGCTTTATTCAGCATACAATTCGAGCGGAATATTTGATTTCGGCGTGTCTTCAGGTTCGTAAGATCTTTGAAGAGTTTTCGAATATCCTTCCTGTTTTTTTTTTTCAATATTTTACTTACAGTTTCATAACACGTGTTTTGAGGAACCCCATATCGAATCGACAAGCTTAGAAGCGTCTTGTGAACTTCAACGTTTTAAATTCTATCTTCTCTATCAAACGAATTGCTAGCTCCCTGAAGGCCTCTTTGTTCGCTCTTTAAACCAATTTTCGATCGATTCTTACAAGCGTTACCGATCTCGAAAAACAGAAAAAAAAATCCATTAATTTTGCTCTTCACCACTAAATGGTAAAGCCGTTATTCTCTGATAACACTTAACCAGCTTATACCTATCGAACTTCGTTTGCCAAGGGTAAATAGTTCAAAAATTAGTCAAGTTTGTGTACCGGAAAAGCTAATGGTTCGATGCTAAGTCGATAACAGATGCAGACCCCCTCAAAGCGCTCTATCGCAAAAATGTTAGATTCTATCCTATAAATTGAGCAGAAACTGAGTGATCGCCTGTCTCGTGATTAGTCGCGTATAAGCTGAGTAGCAAATTTGAAAACCTAATAATGATGTCAGTGCCGTGAAGTGCATCAACTAATAGAAAAACAATTGACCAAAAATAACAAAAATTAGTGTCTTGGTTTTCTGAGATTAAGTACCGGTAAAGGAAGCAGTCACTGATCTTTTTAAGCTAATAGTTCTTGGAGAACTATGAAGTACCCGCTGTCTATTATGAACCCCTTCGCGTCTACCAGTTGCAAAGTTATTGGGGTTCGGAAAGCTCGTTTATGTAATCCCGGTTGTCTCTCACGATCTGCTGGACCAAAAGTTCTGGATTAACTAGAGATTTAGTTTCGTGCACGTTGTGCATGGTTTAAATAAATAAAAACAGTTGCAATTTATGGGGGAAAATGCGTTGCTGTAAAAAAAGTTTACTAAGGCATATTTAGCTTGACATCTAATGACGATAATATGCGTTTTTACAAAACACCCGTCGAGTTAACTGTAGGCGTCCCATCACCTATACCAACCGATCTATGCTCGTTTTTAGAATCGCTAGCTTAACTTCCATTTTCTGTTGTTACATAGTGGTTGCCAGCATAGCCATGTCCTCTGTCTAGCGCACAATCGAAGCCGCCGAGAACATGTCTAAATCCCTAAACTCCGCATTAATTTTAAGCTAATGGCGAATCTACGGCGCTGTTGCACATGTGACTTCGAAAAGGGATTTAAGACCGGTAGTTGAGATCCTTTATGGATTATGGAATCGATTCGTATGGAACTGTAAAAAAACAGAGACAGCCGCTTCGACAAGATATACCCCCATAATTCACAGGAATGGCAACAGAAAGCCACAAGTGAGGTGCAATAGCAAGACCACATTTCTCGGCGTTGATTCCCGCTCCGATCTCGCTAGTCTGTATGGGCACCAGAAGGTTGGCCAGGAGGAAGTGGTTTCCGGCTATGTCTGTCACATCATCTGTATCAATCGCAGATCGGCATAAAACATGCTGCTAATAAAGAACATGTTTCAGTAGGCATCGCATGCGCCAACATTCAGCAGCTTGACCGTTACTACAAATAACTTGGTCGGAGACAAAAACCACTCGAAAAGTGTAACTTATCGCGACCAAAAGAGAGAGAGAGAGAGAGAGAAATACATACTGGGTCTGTACAGCTCATCTAATAATTGTTAAAATGATTGCATGGCCAATGGCGAAACCCACGAAGGAGTCGGTGTCAGCCCGTTATGGAAGATACTTTCTCAGTACGGAAGACTTCGACAGAACCACTTCCTTTTTTTATTGAGCCTACCACATTTGATGGGGAGGGGCATGTTGGCAGGCATAAAGCTCATCCAGCGATATCGACATGAAGTAGACTAGAGTAAATGTGGGCAAAATGAAAGCCGTTTGATATTCGAAGTAATTCATTAACTTTCTTTTTCTAATTGGAAGAAGTTAAATTATAAGCGTATCTCTATCAACAGTGCAGACATTAGTTGAAAACTGTGAGCAGCTGTAAGTATAACACCCGTAACTCTAGCCGGACGTCATCTTCTGAAAAAAATTCCGCGTATCGACGTCTTACTGTAGCTGAATATTGAAACGTTTTTTAGACAGCCTGAGTTCGATAGCCTTAGCCCCCTCCCTGTAAAAGATACAATCTACCTTCTAGTATCGTTATATCATCGACAGTTTATTAATGAGGTCATAGCAAGCCGATCAGTACAGCTATGGGATTCGAAGAAATTTTTGGTAAACTGAGGATGGCAAAACCAGATCGAAATCGATACCAACTATATTTCATTCGAAATAAAATATATCTTCTTAAAAACTATTGTATTTACTAAATAAAAATGAGATCGGATAGAAGCGATAAAACCAGCTATCAATATTTTGATAGCAGAAAATACATTGCCTTTCAGACAGCACGGTACAAACAGCGCCAGTCTTATCCGGAGAAACAAATGAAAGCCAGGAAATATTTCTTCGTAGTGGTTATAGGGGTATCAATAAAGTAACATCGACGAACTATATTCATTCTAATTGCTCGAAGCGTACCATTTCCACCTAATAGAAAACGAGGGCAAATAGTTTTGCATATGCTCGTTGATAGGCGAACGTCCCGTAAGCGAACGTCCCGTAAGCGAACGTATGTCATTTACTGTGGCTGATATGTGTGATAGATGGGCATAGATGTCGTAACCTCAAGCGCTATATGTACAAAATGGCTTTTTACGCTACTTGGTAATAGGTTGATAGGTGTAAAATTGACTAAGGTTCTAATCGTTGGTATGTACAAAATTTTTCCTAAGACGGCAAGTCCAGAATTTCGAAGCTCGTCTTAAAAACAACCTTTCATTGATCGTTTGCACAACCGGTCCAAAGTATTTGCATCTTTTGCGAAAAACTTTCGATTTAGCAAACAGCTACTAGTTTATGATGGCGGCGTTCGTAGCAAAACATAAAGAAAGAATAAGTTTAGGTTATATTGTAGTAAAGAAAGTTTAAGCTATATGTGGTTCTTCATGAGGCGTTGGTCAGAAGCTGGATTTCACCTAGGTAAAATTGATTTAAGTAACAGAATAGTTTTTTTGAACGCGGTTTAGTGGCAAGGTCAAACATAAAAGGAGTCATGACGCCTTTCAGGCCAGGTGGCGTAGGATGTGAAATACCAAAATAAATACTACAGCACCATTATTTCAAGTAGTAAGTGAAGATAACGGTTTCACTATATATACACATTCAGTGTTCAAAGTTATTCGAACTACCTTAACTACTTTAGCCAAAGACAACTTTAACTTAAAATTGCACACTTGAAGCCGCCTTAAAACGGACACGGACTTTCTTTTTCTTTTTTAGTCAGAAAATGGTGCTGGAAGCTTAAGGCATCTTTGTTTATTTAAAGTTCCTCTTAAAAATCTGCTCTGATTTTATTTAGCTTCAGCTGATGATTTTTTGGCCTGATTTGACACATTTGACCTAGATGCTATTCAGTTTGCAATGAACGTTTGGGATAAATTGTTCTCCCAGCAATCTCCGTCTTCTCAGCTCAGATAATCTCAGCAACGTACGTCCTATTATTTATTTGTTTAGAAATTATTTCAATTAAAGGCGAACAGCCTTTCACTTTCCGAAAAGAACGGCAGGGCATTATACGACCACATATACATTCGTATCTAATTGTAACTTTCATTGGCTAGTTGGTTCCTGGCTTTATAAGTTACGGGACGCATGACCCCGTTGCGTGAAATGAGTGAATGACTCTAACCAGATACTTACACATAGTCTCTCTCACTTTCATCCGTTTGTTTGCCTCAGTTTCAATTTTAAATGAACCCCTTGAGCAGATGGGGAGGAGCGGGCATCCTGTATGCGTACGGGACTGCAAGCAGCCATTTTTTGCTTCTTCGAACAGCGAGTTCGCCATTGATGTAATTTGACAGCAGTTATGAAGCTGCTGCATAAATGTAACAGTGATGTAACTACTGCTAACCTACATAACATCCTCCACACAGCCAGCTATAACTAATATTTGCGCCTTACAACATCGTAGGTTTTGTTAGAAGCAAAAGGTATGTTGCGAGTATCTCTTATATAGTTGATAACAACATGCTCGTAGGAAGCCCCGATTCTTTCACACCGTATAATAATGGCCTCGCCCAGACTTCTCTCTCCTCGGGAACCTGGTGGCTGGCAGCGGCGGACAATTTTGTCGGGAGGCCGGAGTGCCGACGACGGCCGTCAGGGCGCTTCTAACGCACGGGAAGTGATGATGAAGTGAAAGAGGATTGAGTAGCAGCGGCGCTCTGCGTGGCCGCCGCTCGATTCCTCTTTCCATCTGTGGAAGCCGCTGTGTTATGCTATCCAGTGTGTTGCCGCGACTACAGCAACAGCCATCACTGCAAGATCACAGTTCCTCAATCAAAGAAAAGTGCTAGCTGCCACGCATCACAAAGTTAAGCTTCCCAGCGACCGACCGAGGCGGTCGCCCTAAACGAAACCGCAGTATCGGCGTCACTGTTTCAACGACAGCAAGTGACCGTATCTGTCACGTCCATGATTTTCGTGACAAGGGTGTTATAGTGCCTCCAAATTCCTGTGTCGTTATATGGTCGTCGTCATCGTCATCGTCATCGTCGTTGTTCATGAACGGCGAAAAAGGCAACGTGCAATAGCAACGTATAGGTGTGTATCGGATCGCCTCTCAGATCGTGTGGCAAATGTCTTGACGGTGATTCGTATCTGTGTGATTTATGCTGTTGCAAGGTATAATTCCAAAACAATCGGATATAGTGGTGGATGTCACTGGAATACCTCGATATCAGCTCCTATTTGTTACTCATCTGGCTAGATGCCCAAGTTTCATTAAATCATCTTCTGCTTGACGGCAGTACGTCCCAAACGCGAAGCCAAGCGCCATTAAGGAGCGTTGACCAAATTAGGCGTTGGAAGTAACCAACTGTTCGGCGGTAGTATTCTGTGAAAATTATCACTAAACCATTGTGTTGGACATACGTACGTATGTATGTCTATATACTAAGTCACTGTCCTGCCTGAGGCTAGTAAAGGGACACGAAATAAATATAAACGGCCAACTGTTAGTAGCTTTATTTACAAAATTATCTGGTGATGTTAACACGAAGCCAGGCGCATGCTGTTAAAATTGTCAGGTAAATAGTTACTTCGTAAGTTATATCTCGTCTGTGTAATTTGGGAACAGACATCTAACGCTAACTTTCTATGGCTAACTTATCTATTGTTAATAATAGCATACCGTCGGGATCAATAGTTATATCGCAGCAGAGTCCTCGTTTTCTGTTTTTGACTTTTCTTGCTGGTGCACTGCCGGCAGCAGCTGCAAATGCTGGACGACCTTAAGGCTATACGTCGAAATTTTTTACTGTTATATTTTATAAGTTTTTGTTTTCTCGAAAATAATGTATGAGCACGTTTTTGCCCAAAGTTGTCAGTTTTAAGTTTTCAACCAAACCAGAATCTGCTTTCATTGAGGCCTTTCCATTACTCCAACGAGAACATCCCACAGTGCAAAAAATATTAAAGCGACTTGATGGGTCCCGCAGCGTAGACAAGGTCATCTCGCTCATTTAATTCGCATTTTAATAATTTACAACAAAATTTTATCACAGTATCTTTATATAGCGCACAAAAAAAAGCCTTTCCGACAATTAGGCAACGTCAGTGTTCTTCAAATAAAGATAAGCAGGAAAGATTCTTCCATCAGAGATCCTATACTTTATTATATTTTTACAAATACGAGAAACTCAAGAGAGATGTTATCTCCGTTGGTGACTGAATTCTGCTCAAGTTGACTACTGCATACAGCATTTTATTTATTTTGATAACTTGGGCCAGGCAGTAAATCAGACAATAACTATCCAGTTGTATGTATTCTTGTTATAACGTCCAAACGCAGTGGCGCTACGCGAACAGATCATCAGCCTTGATAGGTTTATGTTCCTCGCTTTAAAAAACATCGCCTAAATCGTTCTCTGCTATTTGCGATGCCGGACGTAAAACTCGAAACGTACAGAAATAGTTGCATATTATAATAACAAAACGTATGTTTTTTTTAAGTTCGCAAAAAATCCCTCAGCGAACGAATATTACTCAAGCAATACGCTACATTGTTTCGACGCTGGGTGAAAGTTTAGTAACTTTCTGAATACCAACCACCGCGGTGATTTGGATAAAAATGACAAATAGATCTATTAATTAGCTCGAGCTTATCAGGATATGCAACCTGGACTGTGCGGCGAACGGTCTCCTGGATAGACTCTTTTTTATGGGTTTACCCTTCAGACATTGTTTTGACAATCGGCAGGATGGATTTCTTGAAAGGAGGTGACCAAGGGGATCTTTGATAATAGCAGGGAATTCGCAAGCTACCTGAAAATCTAAGTTCGATATCCTAGCGGTAGCGATCAGTGCTGGAAGGTCAACGTGAACATGCGTTTCAAAGTCAACAATGTAAAGTTACCTTAAATGTTTCGTATAAAGGATATAAGACATAATGGAGTTGGGTCTGATGCGTACTATCATGGCATATTGTCATTCACTGCCACCCTTTTCAGACGAACGAATGCTCTGTTCTGATGTTTGCTGGCCAAATGAGTTAGTAAGATCATGGAGTTACTTGTAGGTAACAATGTCATGGTAAACTAAAAAAGTACCCGACTTGGCTTTAAGTAGACAAACTTCTATTGCAGATAGTCAATAATAATCATATTGTGTGCGTTGTTAACAACTCGAAGGTGTTCCGCTTCCGCAACAGCATACCGTCTTTATATTTCTAGAAGAAAAATTCTAGCACACAACATGTTATGGCAACAAAAAATTGCCATAGCTTCTGTGTGTTATATTTTATAGGTGGTGGATATTCTTTCTTAGGGAGCGGCTCAGTGTGCCGATGTTAAGTTATGCTCTCCTTCCTAGAAGTTGAATACGATCTCGTGACGTATACCTAACATTATTAAGAAGGCACAGGTCGCCGCCGCTTCGCTTTGCGCCTCACGAATTGTCTTGCTTGTCGTACGTTGAAGGATATCATGTAATACTCGACGGCATACGCTGCCGGCTTCAATACCTTTTGTTTGTTGTTGTTTAATTTGTTATGAAAACAGGTAGATCTTAATTTCTAGTAGTCAATAAGAACGATGGCTTTCTGGGATCTCCAAACACTACTGCTTTCGAACCAGATAGTAAGAAAAAAAACTTATGCCAGACTTCTTGCCTATTGGACCAACTAACAATATCGCGCTACACAATTTTAAGAACAATTTGTCCTAAGTAATACATGATCAAACGAGCGGTAATTAGATGGAAAAGAGTAACCGATGTACCCAAAGTCGACATCTATCCAAATAGGTTCAATGCCAGCCATTGCTACGATCCTGTCGCGCGTTTCATGTGCGTGCGGAAAAATTAAATACAATGCCATTGGTTGTATAATGATGATCCGCCGGTATAATAATGACGAATGATAAATGTCTGATTTTACCTTTACAACATTTTATTTGAAAACATTTTTACTATGGAGGAACAAACAAACAAACAAACATTCTACCTTAAAACGTCCAGCGCTTTTATGAGAGTGTCACTGGCAAATATGGCCATTTTCATTTTTCTTTTTTTGTTACTCTATTCTGGATATTGTGAGCACGCAAATATCTGTGCTACTTAAGACTGGCTTATGTACTGACATTTAATAACGCTCGGCTGTCTCAGATAGCTAACTGGATGTCCACGAGTTCTTCATCGTGACTTATGTGACGAGGCATGACGATACGTTTGCATTGCTGACCTACAATAGTTCCCAATTGAATTAGAAAGCATTTTTATGACTTCTTCTAGATGTTTGAGACAGCTATTCTTTTTGCCCGTCGGGCGCCACAAGGCGTTGAAGAGTGACGTATTGACACCTATGCAAATGAGCTACGTTTTGGATTGTAACACAGAGGTATACTTGAGCCAAATCTATATGGCGCTTATTATTACAACAGTAACCCGATTTTAATTTATACGTTATAATTAGTTGTGATAGAAACGGCTGTTTCTGTGATCTTTGCATTAATTTGCGTCCTTCTGTTACATGCTGCTGGGTTCTGAGGCCATAATCTCAAGAACGACACTATATGTTTATTACTACTATAAATACACCTGTTTCAGTTTTAGTGTACATTGTACTTGCTGCGTGGTCTTATTCCGATATTATTCTTTATAAACCCATTAACTGTATGGAACGAACGTCGTGTTTGCCATTCAGCTGTCATCAAATATTTATAAATCTCGTAGTCGGATCCAAATGTGCGCAAAGGTTTTTACCTTCAGAAAAGTTCAGACTAAGCAATGGATGTCATAGTAACCAACGTCAAGCAAGATATGATCAAAAAAAGTAACTCGAAGGGGCATTTGTGATTGTAAAGCCGGATGAAGATTGATCCGAGTACAATGGAAGATGTTTCTGGCGATCGGCCCTCGTGTCCTATCTCTATATATGAATGAATCCTACTCATGTTGTGCTACAAAAGATGTGACAATCGGGATATATATGGCTAGGATGCATACCCAAGGATAGTATTAAATTTGAAGATTAATGAACTATCTGGGCGGTCAGTGCGCCCCATTTCTCTGACAAACCAATAGGGTGTTCATAACAAAATATTAACATAAATTCTTATAGATAACTGCATATCCGTATGGAAAATAGTAACGGACCCGAAAGTCATGATTTTGCCACATCGACATTGGGTTGACATTGCCGTAGTTACTAATAGACGTCAATGAACAAATGATTCGCAGGCACAAACACTTGTTCCAGCACAGGGATACCCTCGTCGCACAAACATGTACGCCAAACACCGAAAGCTGACGCAAAAGGAATATATCATTAAACAGATACCAACTATTATAGCGTTGTTCATTGGGCTGTCTAAATTGAATCGAGCTAGTCATATATTTCCAATAAAAGGTTCTATGACGAGCCACACAAGAGTAAGGCCCACATATGCCTTAGTGCTACCGTAATCGCTATTGTAATGCTTTGATAAAAGATTCATGAAACATCTTTAGTAACAGGATTTAAAAAAAAAAAAGCTTGCTGCACACGAGAAATCGTGTTCAGTAAGCTTTTTTTTTTTCTGAATGCTCGGTCTATGCAAGCATGCGTTCGTTCGCAAGGCGAACCTTGGCAGTGATTCAGAGACATTTAGTATAGGTCGCCAGAAAGCTATTCTGTGCAATGGATATGAGTTGTTGCTCATGCTATGCCGTGTTGTTATCGTGTTTACATTACGCTATGGCTGAAACTAAGTATCCTTTACTTTCTGTTTGAATGTCTGTTAAAGGAAACATCCCCGAAAATGATTGACGACGCGCCTCGCGTTTCGGCTGTGCCCCACTGGTGGCAACCTCCGCATATTCAATCAAGAAAAACAACAATAGCATTGGATCTTTTCGATTAGCTCAATTCACAAAAGCTAATCTAGCTTTTCTCTTCCTGTGTGGGACTTAATCCGTTCTTGTTCCGTGTCGTCAACGGACGGTGTGCTGACGGTCATGTTCAACTTTACCACGGAAAAATTAAGCTTCGCTAGTCAAATTGTAGAGCTGATATAGCCAATTAAATATTGTCCGTCAAATAATTTTATATGTTATTTATACTTTTTTTGTAGACGCAGGAAGCCCAGTTGGCACGTTTTTAGTCGAAAATTACTGTGCAGCACTGCCTGAATTTCGACATTGCCACGTGTTTGCATAAATGATAGCGGTTCTTTTTACTCGACTGATAGTACATACGTAAATTTCTAACTGCTGCTTTCAGGCGTAATCTTATCGATAAATAGTGCCTTCGTTCCTTTTTTCCATTATTAACTATTGGCTATTCCTTTAGGTGCAGCACTCGTACCCAATGTTAATTGTTCGAAAATGTACCATAGGACTCATGATATGAAATCGTGAAGCTTATTCTTTGGTGATTCAGCATAGGGGCATCATGTTGTCTTTGTACTTTACAGCGAAAAGCATATTCCCTATACCTTCGAGAGGCCTCTAGTGAGTGCTGTTATAGGGGGGTAGAGTAATAGCGCCGGACCGCACTATCAATTATAAAAGCAAAGGATCGTCAATGGCAGGGGTTTTCTTGCCCGGATTCTGTACCGGTTGTGAAGGGTAGATTTTGTTTGTGTTTAAGTAAGGCTTTGGTACCTTAGACCTAGCTTACATTTACGGCCAAAGCGAGAGCTACTTCCATTATTATTACTCCAAATGGCTTCACTTGATTATTTACTGCAGCGTGGACAATTGTAACCAGCGTTAAGTTCTTTGTTATCATTTATTTACTAGCATAGTCCACTTCTATATGCGGAATATGAAATGCTTCATACCGTACCCTTAATCCGCACTATGCAAACACAGACTACAATTGAGTAACTATAAATATAATAAATTTTCCCATATATAGTGTAGTAAATTACCCACCAACTTTTCACCTGTTCAATAGAGGTTCAATAGAGTTTTGTTTGGGGTAGACTGAAGAACAAATGCATATGATAATGTTTTTAATCAAATTTTATCTTTATTTGCCTAAATGACAGCTTCAAAAAAAAGTATGCTGCCATATTCTCTGGAATGATATTTTATGACGTTGTGTTTATTTTTTCAGTATTAATTTCAGTCTAATTCGGATGATAATATTGCAATTTCTTCTCTATTAGAAGATTATTTTGTAAACATCGTACATATTACACATAGATATGATACATTAGCTTCACCGTATTGCTTTTTTTTTGTGTTACTAATGAAGATTTATATGCGAATTTCTCTAGGTTTAATAAGCTTGATTTTTATATTGAACTGAGAGAGGTGTTCTATTTTTGACTAGACAATACTGTGCATCTTCTATTGGTATACGCCAATACCAGCGTTACTTATTGTAGTTGCCGACGAATAGTACACCACTTGACCTGAGACTGATCTACTGTTTCTAAAGGAATAATGAAGTGTTTATATGTTATAGACGTTTTACGTTTTGTATGTTGCGCTGCTGTTAGACGTTGCTGTGACGGCTGGGGTCATCAGCCGCTAAAGCAAAGTACGTTTACGCCCCCAGATAACTTCATGTACGCCTAAATCTAAAAAACAAACCCTTTAGAACTTCGCCGTTGAAGTACGATTTGGTACACCTTATTCCTTGCAATCAGGGTTGTTGAAGGTTCTAGATACGCCTTACCAAGCAACACTGGACAGCATCAAACCTTAGAACAGCTTCTGGGGAAGCGTTAGTATATATATATATATAAATTAATAAAAGGTTCATAATCCTCTATTTTAATTGCTATCGGTTTAACAAAATAATATTATCATTAAGTGAACCGAATGAAATTTTCCATCGCCTATATGTATATATGAATGAACAAAAAGAAAGTGACCTGGGCCAATATAAAAGAGAAAGACTGACTTTTATTGGATTAAGTTATGCTTTTTCTTCAATTCTTCATCGCATCCGAAGTTCCGAAAGAAATTAATAGTTTAATTTTTCTTTGGTTGAAATTCGTTAGCTAAGACAACGAGGACGACTCGAAGTTTGTAGCGAAGTAGATCGAGTAGTTTCTCCAAAATTTATCACTCAGTCTTTTACCTATAGAAATTGATTGAACTCACTGACTCGGCGCGTTAATATTCGGACTTCGGAAACTTTGATTGGTGGTCCTTAAGCGGTACCGGTCTACCTCTGCTAGTCTCTCTCAAATAATCAGAGGAATTGGCCAGTAAATGGTCAATGGTAACCCTGCCACCCCATCTTGAGGGTTTTAGTAGCAGCTCAAAGAAGTCTGTCTGTCTGAACAATCAAAAACCTTGTCTCGTGTCAAGACCCACTTCGCTGCGAAGGAACAGCTAAATACTCAACCTTGCTCCTTCTCGAATTGTTCCAAACAGATTTTGTATGACAAAATCTACGCCATATAGTGCCTCATCATCATTATTTTTTAATTTGGGAATTTTTCTTTACGTTACAATAGATTATTACATTCGTTAACTTAATCAAGTAACAGTCGAATTATCTACCGATTTTATAGGTTACTATTTAAACGAAAACATTGTGAAAATGGTGTTCAGTAGAATAAGGCTGAGTGTTACGTTTGGTAGTATAGGTGGCTCGCGAGCTGCTTATTTCACGATGACCAGGTTAGCCGGCACGACCCAGGTTGAGATTTACGCTATCTGGCTGCAATATGCCGAATAGATTCATGGTTGGCTATAAAATGCGGTAATGATCCGAAACAAATGCAGGACAATATGGTAAAATATCTCAAAGTGAGAAAATGTTCGCAAAAATATAAACCTCACCGTTGATTACCTTGCTTGATAAATTGATTATAACCAATGCTTTTATTATTATTATTGTTGTTGACTGTCTTTTAGAGTGAAGCAGTAAAGTAGCGCTTCGAACTCTTGCGGGTGCTCTTGAGCCTAAGTCGTTTGTGAAGAGTTAGAGGGACTGCTTCGCTGCCTGTCTACGTGCTGTGCGCGGGTCAGCGAGAGGAACCGTTGCTACAATAGAATTTGTTCTAGCACCCGGAAGAGCTTTCTTCTGACTGATCTGTGTGTTATTGCTCGTCTGCACGCGTGTTCCTAGCCTAATACTAGACATTGCAACTCCTCTGCTGAATCAAATCTTGTTGCCCTCGAGCACGAACGACGTCGCACTCGTTACAAACTGAGGCTTAGTAAACGTATGACCTCATACTACGACTACTACTTGGTCTTATTCTCTATATTGAGCGACAATTGGTAGCAGTGAAAAGTGCATTGTTGAATTCCTCGTACCACATAGAACAATAGAAAAACGGAGCAAATACACACCGGTAGACGTAAAAAATGGCGGAAAGAAGCGGCTTATCTATCGTGTGGATGGTGATTTGGGCCGCACTACTAATTTTCGTCGCATTTTGGATTGCCGGTACTGTGGCTTTCTTGTGAGTATTGGGCGTGAATTGGCCCTACGGGATTTCCTAACGTCTTGTGAATTTGCTTAATGTTTTACCATATGTTGATCTTACAGCTGCTTGTGCATGTAGGTCCTGTAATTTTTAAAACAGCTACCTTGGTTGCAGCATATTATTATAAAGCCGCTTAATTATGCAAGCGAAAAAAGACGTACGCGTATCCCATGGATACGTTGATTAAAAAATAGCTGGTTCTGGGAAAAGCGACGAAACTCATAAAGACGATGAGTGAAAATGTGTTAAGACGTGGCCAAATGAAAGGCAAGAAGCGAACGGCAAAATATTAAACGACTATACAGCAGCGAGAAATCTAAAGTTTATTCAATAAGGAAAAAGAGCAATACTCAGGCGTCAATCTAATAAAGTTAATATCGAAAAAACAAATGCTGCCTAAATGTAGATCCTTCAATGAATAGAATGCGGTTAGTCGTTGAAGTACTACGATCTCCAACTAAATTAGAACCCCCAAAAATAGACTATAATAGTTCTTGGCAAGAGTAATACGATAATAACTACTTCAAACAGTGCCTTTCAAACATTTCGCAATCGCGTGATATATTCTTAATTCTATAATGAAAAACAACAGACTTGGCCACAAGTTCACTTTTTGCATGCCGTTTGAATAGAGGAAGACATCGGTTGGTACAAGTTTGTAAAGGGTCCGATACTGTGAGTTTACGATGGGAACTATGAATCTGATATTGGTTACAGGTAAGACCTGAGTTGTCTTTGATTTTTAATATGCCAAGGTAAAGTTCCTAACAACTGAGGCAGCTTCCTTTCAGAAATGGTTCACGAATAAATTAAGCCCTACTACTTAGTGCTTGGTGCACACTAATAAAAAAAAAAACTAGTGGGCAAAAAGCGGGTGTACTCTTTAGTACGTGGCTCCGGTAGTCGTGGTGGTTATATTGCAATGTGACAATGTTTAAAATGGGTTCCGTTCAAAGGGCAATTTTTCTCTGTGTAATGCATTCATTCATTGTGATGAGACTACTTTAATTTAATTTTATTCATTTTCGAATTTAATAAACATTAAATGTCATGATATTATTCATGTTTAAGAGTTGCCTGCTGTTGTTTTGTTTACGGTTTGGCTATTTGCAGCTATATAATGCTGTACATATTCGTACCATGCATACCTGTCCTGAAGGAGCTCTTGGACGTGCTTCACAAGGGGCTCCTTCTTCCGTACTATTGTTCCGACAACTTTATGAATGGCCGAGACATCCCGGAAGGCCTCAACTTCATCGTGTCTGGTGGGACAGCATCCTAAGGACCATTAGATTGCTCCTTTCAGTGCGCTCGTCCGGTGCCTTCTACGTCTAAATTATCATATCTTATAACATCCTATTATCTGAGTTTAGCGTCTTGAAAATTTTCTATTTTAACTGTCGGCAATGACTGATCAACTTGAGGAATTTTTTGGTAACATGCTATGTAACTAAAGGCTGCAGCTATACATATATTCTCCGGATCCGAGCTTGACTGTTTGTTTCGTAAATCAGGACCTGTAAATTTAGATCAGGACTAACATTCCTAATCCGACTTTTCTATTTTTACCCGCTTCTGTTGAATATGCCGATGTGTGTATGAATGGTTTAACGTATTGTGTTTTTTTTTTTTATAATGTATGCAACTCCGAAAATAGCAGTAGTATCGGCTATATTGCTGAGCCGCTGTGCCGAAAAGGGCCACTGCAGTGCCACTAACATACTAAAAGCCATGAAGGTAGAATAGAGCTTCCAGTTATATACAAAAATATTACGTGTTTCTGAGCGAATATTAGACTTGAATGTTCGCCCCACACATAAACGCTACCGATACGATATACAACTGTTAAATACAAGTTTTTGGACTGCCATTCGTTATTTTTGAGGAATATAAAAATATTTATTTAACATACCGCATGTTGTTATTTTTCTAGATAATAGTAGTGATAGAGAGAGTCTCGAAATACGCATCTGGACCACACTCGGTACGGTAAGCCGCTTGGTTGCCATAGAAGCATATTATCAAGTCGGAGGATAATATGTACCGGTATCCGCAATTACATATGACAGCACAGTGTGGCGGTTTCGACGTATAGATCTAAAATCGAATTTGCTTCACTTTTGTAAAGTCTATATATCAGACTATAAAGTTTTGTTTTTCTTCAGGCACTTGTAACGTACTACAAGAATCCATAGTTGTGCTTAACTATTCCAACTACCATTACAAATTCTGTTCGTCCGACCTTGAGGTGAGTCGAGTCGTAAACGATCTACTTCTAGCTTCCTAGGCGCAAAGCTCGCATTTCAGACGAAGAATTCAATAGAAACGTCAAAGCGACAATTGCCTCAGCACCCTGTTGGATCATCGCCTTGCTGTGGTAAGGTGTAAAGGGAAGAAAAACCTTACAGCTTTAAGCCCTGAAGAGAAACTGCGAAGAGATGTCTACAAATTTTCGTTAGGTATTCTGACATGCATTTCTTCTAGTACTGTGAAACGTTGTCCAGCGACCAACATCGGCGCTGTGCTGGTAGATCAGCGATGGTTCGTCGCAGGATGTTGATAGACGAAGCGGGGTCAGCATTGAAGCGTGTTAGCCAATCTTTCTATCTAACTTTCGTGTACCTAAGTACAAAGTATTCAACAAAAAACTGAGAATTATCGTATTTAATAAAGCCGACATAACTAGGATTTTTTCCGAAAGCACCAGATCTACTAAAAGACATTCTCCAAAGTAACTCCATTACTCGTGACGATAGTGCTACAAGACAGAACCGCTTTAAACCAGGAACGGGACTCCTACAAAATGGCAATTTCAGCTGATGGCTCTCCAAACCTCTCACTAACGGCCTCTCTTCATTTCGCATTCTGTCGTGAAGATGGCCCAGTGCGTTGACGACCTCGTCGTGTGCAGTACGGACAGATTTTACCTGCAATAGCTGCTAATAACCACAATAATAATAATACATCGTTGAGTTTTGTTTTTAAATGAATAAAACCAAAATAGGGCTTATAAAGTTCAAAAGGGGAAAGCCGAAACGGCAATTCGTTCCGACCGAACGGAGTATTGCCGTTTACATACATCGGTTTAACGCTAATGACAACGAGGGCATCAACGTTTGCGGATATCACCATCGAGAACATACACGAACTACCAATCGGAACAGCAGTCAGCTTGTTTAATTTAGGAGCTGTACAGATGATCTTGTACGCAATCCCAATTCCTTAGAAAGTTAAACGTTCAGCGTTTAACTGAGCTAAGACAGATGAGCTAACATAGGCATTCTTAACACTGGCACCGAGTCCTTGCACGACAATTCGCAATTAGCATGGCCGTTAGGCGGCGCTCCTATCTATCGGACGGAAATATCCGGTCGGCGTTTACCATTCAGCTTATATATTATATATATATATATATTCATATATATGTATATAAAACCGAAGTATATGAGACATTTATATACAAAAAAGGCCAAGGTAAATTTTTCATTCTTCGCAACTTCAGCTAAACCCGACAGGAAGTAAAAATAACAAACGAGCTAAAATAATCACTGTAAGATTCGCAAAGTACACGTTTCATCGTTTTATTTGCGAAGCGCCCAGATATGTACAAAATTTCTATCAATCCCCGCCAATCAGATAAATTAATGCATAAATCTGCAACGACAGTCTTACATAACAAAGCACTTATTATAACATATATTATACAGTCATAATTTCTACTGTACATTTACACACCGTGTAAAATAAATAGATAAATACTTCGTGCCATATAGATATAAAGGGGGTTCGAGTCACATGTAGAATAATACTCACATAATAAAAGATGAGTCAAAATAAATAAAAACATTTTATTTATTTTGACTCATCTTTCTTTCTCAAGTTTCACGACGAACATCGAAAAAATTACATCGATCTTCCATATGTTAATTTTTCCGCTGTGAAGATTTCCGCTCAACTGATTGCACCAGGTGTGATTGCACCCATTTTGAGAGAAAAAAAAAAAAAAAAAAGAAAGGTCTTAATTGTTTTAAGAGACAATCAATTTAGTAAAAAACAATACATTTATCATTAAATCAACTTTTTGGAACAGATTTGTGTAATAACAATGTCTGATTACGGAACTTGTAACTTACAGTACAAATACATTGTCAATTTCATTTCTATTTAAAAACCAGAAGTTCTACACCAGAAAAAATGGGCTTCAGATTTTTTAGATAGAAGTTGATTGTAATTTATCCGACTAGGTAGGTCATATCTCATGAATGAACGATAATAGAGCAAATTACTCAGTTTGGTTTCTTGTTGCAAGTCTATGTAGCACCGCGTCATCGCCGTTAGAACGTAATCATTATGTGTATTTTAGTTTGACGCCGATAGACACCATTATGAGGAGGTGTTTACATTCATTAAGACTGTAGTTAGTATATGCGATATAAATGAATTGCATGAACTTAAAAAGATCCATGCGAACGTATATCATTAGTTTATGAACACCCTCAAAAGAGGGAATGAAAATCCATAGAGGAACGCTTTTGAAAAGAGTACGAGAAGCTGAGTTACATCTATGCATGCCTTTAAGCGGATAACGCCAGCTTATTCCAGTACCATAGACCACCTATCTCCACTTGGACGAAACGACTTCGTGCAACCTGTTTGCTCGTTTAAACCTGAGGATAAATTCGAAAGTGTTTTCGCATTGCCTTCGGTCATATCCCGGGTTCCACTGAGTCGTGCAGCGAAAATAAGGCTCACAAGTAAGCTCGCAGCTAGGCATAAACTGATGAAATAGTATAGACACTTTTCTTATCCAGTAACTCCTCAGACGAACGTCAGAAGCATACTGGCACTGCTGGCCGTTGTATGAACGTATC